TTGGAGAGAATGATTCAAGGGGGAATATATGGAAGGTATCAAGGGGGTGATAGAGGGAGTCATATAGGGAGCAACGCAGGCAGAGTGGGAGACTGGGGAGGGTCGCGGTGGCGGGGCGGCGTGGGAGCGGGGCGCGAAAGCAATAAATGTCTAAGTGTGAAAAGACACGTTTTAGTGCTTGGATGGGAGCGCAGGGGTTTTCGGGCCGGCGGTGGGCCCGGGGATCCGTGCAGCGAGGGGCCGAGGACACAAAATCCCAGAGTTCAAGGATGAGGGAAAGGATCGGAGTAGGTAAAGGGAGATCGCGGAAGGGGGCGCGGTTGAGGCTTTTAGAACTCGGATGCTAGATGACAAGTAATGGCGGGCGAGACACCTCCGAAAGAGACACGGTCTATGTCCCGGGCGTTGACCTTGCTGGTTGACCGTCCGCTTGTCGGGGTTTGTAGGCGTTATCTGGCTGGAGCGTGGGAACGGCCGGGGCCGGCATGACATATAGTGCCATAGACGGCGGCTCATGGGCGGGTCTGCGGGGGGTAGTATAATCTAGTCTACGTAAGTTACCGGGGGGTCATATAGCCGGAGCGTTAGAAGGTATGGGCGAGAGTATAGTTAAGGGACGATAGGGCCTAGGGGTTAGGGTGTTGGCGACGGTTAGTCAGGAACAGATAGACCTACCCAGGGGCACGCCATGCGGACAAGACGGTCACAACAGAGGTCAGCGGGGACATACACCCTACGCTGGTGGTAATGGCTTAGTAGTAATAAGGATTAGAGTTAGCATGTAGGACCTTACCGTTTTTCTTTAGGCGCGACACGGGCCGCCATGTTCATTTCCTGCACTCCTCCTTCTCCACCACCTTCTCCCTTCTCCCCCTCCTCCTTCTCCACCAGCTTCTCCCCCTCCTCCTTCTCCACCACCTTCTCCCTTCTCCCCCTCCTCCTTCTCCACCAGCTTCTCCCCCTCCTCCTTCTCCACCACCTTCTCCCTTCTCCCCCTCCTCCTTCTCCACCAGCTTCTCCCCCTCCTCCTTCTCCACCACCTTCTCCCTTCTCCCCCTCCTCCTTAGTGTGCAGATTAGTGTGCAGATTAGTGTGCACAACCTATCGTAACACAAAGACGAGCTGTCATTGGTCGGGTCGGGGAGGGGCGGGGCTATCTCAAATATTTCGCACTCGGCAGATATTTCGCGCGACACCGGTCGTGTAAAACCAGTCGCTTTCTACCGGTCATAGGTGGATACGATGGAGAGTTATAACGACCCGTCACGAGTTTCGCCCGGTTATGTATATTTGCTATGGAGTACACCGGGTAACCGATCGTGACGACAGCCTTTATGAACCGGGCGAAAATTTCGAACTATAATGCAACCAGGGACCGGAGAATTTGCGTTGAAAGTAAAAAATAAGCTTTTCAATAAATAGTAACGACCAATCACAAATAATGTCAAAAATAACCACCAATCAAGTGAGTTATATGCTTTATGTACAAAACGGCATGTCAGCGCTGAGTACGTGTGTGAGGTGAGGTTGATAATATTATAATACTAATCATCATAACCTTATAACGATTAGTATTCAAATTCAAGGGGATCTGAAAACAGAATATGCATGTATGTTATAGTGTATGAAATTTATAGATGATACACTATATAGAGCGTCGTGAAAGGTTAGTAATAAGATAACAATGTCAATAATCAGACAACGTAACTTAGTTAGGCTCATACTCATAGTCATAGGGTCTATGTCCCCCAGGGTACTGCCGCCGCCGGAACGTACCCTGGGTACGGTAGGCGTAGGCGACTCCCTAGATTGGTTAGTGGAGTAGGCGAGGTACGGTCCGGCATATTATATAGTACCAAGGTACGTTCCGGCAGTACCCCGGTGGACATGCATAGACCCTCTCAGCCTTAGTTAGGTATATAGTTAACCTCGTGACAATGAATTATACTTTAGCCCTTCGCTTCGCCTGTGGCGAGCCGAAGGTCTATAGTTGTAGAGATAGATCAAGTGCTACTATAGTACTCGGCCTTTGTTGCATCTAAGCAAAAATTCGCGTACACAGCCGAGCAGCCGATTTTGCATGCCCTTCAGACTAATACACCTATGAACTTGTGGCGCCATCGTGAGACACGCGTCTAAACAGAGGAATTGCTCCGACCTGTGATTGGAGGATAAAAATAGAATTCGTGACGTTTCGTTTTCATTTTGCATACCCCGCCGCATACGCTATTACGCTATATTAGTGCAGCAGATAACCACAACAATTGTGCATTTTATGAGAAAAGCATGAAATTTCTAGCATAGTTAGTATATACCATGATGTTTATTTTCAGATGTGGAGGGAAGTCAGATGTGACCTCTGAGCACGGTGAGAGGTCAAATCCAAGATGGCCGCCAGTCCACCGGGTCTTAATGTTCAAACGCGCTTAATTTT